CTGATATGAGAACTGTTTGGAGGAAGTCCCCGGAGTGAGGTGCGCTCACAGCCTGGAGACGGGCAATCTCCCTATCTGATGTTGCAGCCCTGAGCATGTTGGCAAGCACCTTTTCAGCGATCGGGCCATCCCAGCTTGACTGTTTGTGAGCCAGTGCTGCACTAGGGTTTAGTGCTGGAGCAACAAGAGTCTCCCATTCAGTGATGGCACTGGCATAGCTAGGGTCTTCTATTCCTGCTGAGTCACCGAGGGTATCAGGAAGAATTTGTCTTATCAACTCGTTTGAGGTCAATGTTGGTACTGGGAGCCCTGGGTGGATGTTTGTCTTTCAGAGCTTGCGCCGTGCTGACGTCCTTGGATGCGATGGTATCCTCACTGGTTATAAGCCTCAGAGCTCCAATAGTATTACCCTCTTCTGTTTTTTTGCTAATTTGGGCTCTGATTTTTGAGGCGTCGGGTGTCCTGTTGTTGGCATTTGCCCGGCGGGTGTTTGTCGCCCTAGGGAAGAGACGGACGAGGTTGTCATCCCTTGGGAATGCATTTATTGCCCTAATAACATGTGTTGCTAGTGACTTGTCCCTCCTTGGTGGGACAGCCAAACAGGCATTGCCAAAAAGCAGCAGGTTGTTCCAGGATCTGTTGTTTGAAGGAGCATCGTTGACTTTCTTCACAAGGTCAGTGAATTTGCTAGCAGCTTGAGGGCGAGCTGCTTTGGGAATGTGTGTCAGACTCCTGGTGGATGTTAATTTGATTGCAGATTTGAGGTCCTCTGTAGAGGTGAAGTCACGGTAGCTGTCAGCCCTGTCTGCTAGGGGAGGCTGTTGGTTGTTCTCATTTGGAGCTCTCCTGGAGCCTAGACATCCATTGTGTGTACGGATGTTGCCAGTTGTGGGATTGAGTGCACATTCCCTGTAGCGCACCCGGCAGATGCCTCGTGAACGACAGCTTTGGCTCTGTCGTGAAGATAGTATATATAAATATATGTATATATATATATATATATATATATATATATATTATATATATATATATATATAATATATATATATATATATATATATATATATTATATATATATATATATATATATATATATATATATATTTTATATATATAAATATATATATATATATATATATATATTTATATATATATATATGTATATATATATATATATATATATATATATATATATATATATATATATGTATATATATATTATAATATATATATATATATATATATATATATATATATATATATATATATATATATATATATATATATATATATATATATATATATATGTATATATATATTTATTTATATATAATATATATATATATATATATATATATATATATATATATATATATATATATATATATATATATATATATATATATATATATATATAGATTGAAAAAAAATTATAGGGAAGAACCACCTCTATAGCTAGACTGGGGACCCTCATCCTCAGAGAAGACAATAAACGTACCTCAGGGAAAACTCAAGGTTCTCCCCGGAGCTGTTTGAATATTTTCTTCTCCTACCACCCCTTATATATATATATATGTATATATGTATATATATACACCCGACGCCTCAAAAATCAGAGCCCAAATTAGTAAAAAAATAGAAGAGGGTAATACTATTGAAGCTCCGAGACTTATAACCAGTGAGGATACCATCGCTCCCAAGGACATCAGCACGGCGCAAGCTCTGAAAGACAAACATCCACCCAGGGCTCCCAGTACCAACATTGACCTCCCTGACATTGCAGCTGGAGAAGAACATCTAACCTTACAGGATGCTGATGTGTATAAAGCTGCTATGTCATTTGCACAGGGCTCAGCAGGAGGTTTCACCGGTTTAAGGCCTCAACACTTAAAACAAATACTCAACCCAGCACTTGGTGAGGTTTCAGAGAGGCTGCTGTCTGAACTCAACAAATTTTCCAACCTGTGCCTGGCTGGCAATGTCCCAGAGGCCATCAGACCCCTTTTCTTTGGTGCCTCATTGTGTGCCCTCCGGAAAAAGGATGGCGGAATCAGGCCCATTGCAGTGGGTAACACCCTTCGGCGCCTAGTCGCCAAGGATGCAGTAAGAAGGGTGAGTCAAGAGGCTGCTGCAATGCTGAAACCAACTCAGCTCGGTTTCGGCGTTCAACAGGGCTGTGAAGCAGCTGCCCACGTAGCACGAGTATATATCAAAAACATGTCCGATGAAAAAGCTTTGGTCAAATTGGACTTTGCCAACGCTTTCAACTCAGTCAGAAGGGATGCTGCTCTCCAAACAGTTTATAGAAACTTCCCTTCCCTTTATCCCTTCATAGAATCGTGTTATAGTGTGACTTCCAAACTATTGTTTGGGGACCATGAAATTGACTCATGTGAGGGCGTGCAACAGGGGGACCCTCTCGCCCTCTTTCTATTTTGTTTGGTCTTCAAGGGAGTCACGGAAGCACTCTCCAGCTAGCTCAATATCTGGTTCCTGGACGACGGTACCCTGGCTGGCACAACAGAATCTCTCCTAGAGGACATCAGTAAAATTAAAGACATGGGAGAAAGCCTGGGCCTTTCTTTAAACCCCACCAAATGTGAAATAGTTTCTACCAATCAACAGATGATCCAGAATATTAGTGCCGTTTTACCAGGAGCAAGAGCCATTGATCCAGCCAATAGCACTCTCCTTGGTGCTCTTCTTGGGTCCAATGCCATCGATCTGATCCTAGAAAAAAAAAGTCTCAGACCTCCGGACGATGGAAAGCAGGATGAAAGACATTGACACACACGATGCATTCTACCTACTCACCAGGTGCCTGTCAATCCCAAAACTTACCTACTTTCTGAGATGCTCCCCAGTCTTCAGCAGTCCAAAACTCAAGGAATATGACTCTCTCCTGAAGACCATGCTAGAGAGTGTATTGAATCTTTCCCTTGACGATGGACAGTGGTTGCAAGCCTCACTTCCGGTCAGGCTTGGAGGGCTAGGAGTACGCAGATCCTCCCAGATTGCTCTACCAGCTTTTCTATACTCTTCCATAGCATCAAACGAGTTGATAAGACAAATTCTTCCCGATACCCTCGGTGACTCAGCAGGAATAGAAGACCCTAGCTATGCCAGTGATATCACTGAATGGGAGACTCTTGCGGCTCCAGCACCAAACCCTAGTGCAGCAATGGCTCACAAACAGTCAAGCTGGGATGGCCCGATTGCTGAAAAGCTGCTTGCCAACATGCTCAGGGCTGCAACATCAGATAGGGAGATTGCCCGTCTCCAGGCTGTGAGAGCACCTCACTCCGGGGACTTCCTCCAAACAGTTCCCATATCGGCAATGGGAACGCGACTCGACCCTAAGACCCTCCGTATTGCAGTGGCTCTGCGCCTTGCTGCCCCAATTCACACAGAATATACGTGTATTTGCGGCGAAGTGCAAGCAGACCAATACGGTCTACATGGTCTTAACTGTTCCAGAACCAAGGGCTGGCATGCAAGACACAATGAGGTCAACGACATCATTAAGAGAACCCTTGCTACAGCTGGATGCCCTGCTGAGAGGGAGCCCCGATCACTAGCAGCCAACAATACCCACAACCCAGCAAACCGCCCCGACGGGATCACCATCTATCCTTGGAAGAATGGCAAGCTCTTAGCATGGGACTATACCTGTGTGTCCACACTGGCTGACACCTATATCCATCACAGTGTGTGGCGACAGGTAGGAGCTGCTGACCACAGGGAGGAGTACAAGATCAGCAAGTACAGGGACATTAGCCAACAGTATCAATTTGTCCCAGTGGGATCAGAGACCTTGGGATCATGGGGAAAAAATGCCACACGTTTCCTTAAAGAATTGGGTTCCAGACTCATGGACACCACCAGGGACCCAAGGGCAGCCACTTTCATGTTCCAGCGCCTCAGCGTAGCCATCCAGAGGGGAAATGCTTGCTGCATACTTGGCTCGCTTCCAGCCTCGGAGGAGCTGGAGGAAATTCATGATCTTTGATACATTGTGCCATTGTATTCATGTTTATGTTTTTTTCTGTAAATGTATTCTGTAAATGTATTCTGTTTATTAATAAATGTTCACATAGAATATAAAATATATAGGGGGTGGTACGAGAAGAAAATATTCAAACAGCTCCGGGGAGAACCTTGAGTTTTTACTGAGGTACGTTTATTGTCTTCTCTGAGGATGAGGGTCCCCATTCCAGCTATAGATGTGGTACTTCCCTATATATATATATATATATATATATATATATATAAATATATATATATATAATATATATAATATATATATATATATATATATATATATATATATAAATTCCAATGCCAGTTTCTATACCGTGAATTTTATTTATTACGATAGCAATTAAATATTTTTCTTTACCTCAAAGGGTTAAACACATCCTAACCTCTTACGATGTGTTTCATTACCTCAAGAGGTTACCCTCTGTGTTTCATTGTCAAATGGGGGTTACCCAGTGTGTTTCACTGGAAATGTTTACCAGTTTTTGTATTATATTGGGTACATTATTAAGGTTGCGTGTTTCATTGGTAAAGGTGGCTAGGGTTTCAGCTTGAAAACTAAACCAAACATTGAGTTAGTAACAATGTTTATAAACCCCCTGAGGGAGGATATACCTCCCTCAGTACGCTAAACAATTTTCCATATTTGATGTTGCGTGAACACGTTATTCTAACATCCGCACATGACGCCCATACTTATTCCGTATTGCAGTTTGGGAAATCTTTAGTTATTCTTTAAAGTCTTGATCCCTGAGTTACTTTGGTCAGTTGGTACCAGTGTTGTTCTCCCTGTAGTGCAGGAATTAGGGCTGTTAAGTTACTTAACTGCCCTAATTCCCGTACGTCACCTAAGTTATCGTGATTGTTTCACATTGTCGTCTTCCTCACGTCTCCAAGTTTCTTAAAACTAATGGAAACAAATACTCAGTATTTTAAATTATTTATTTTTTAGCAAAAATTTACACCAACAAGTAACTGAATTTGTCACACAATAGATAAATAAAATTAGTGGATAAAATAAATATCATATAGTATAATGTGCAAGAAGATTAGAAAATCAGGAAATTAAATAAAGCCGATGAGTTATACGGTCTTCCAATATGAAGGCTGAAGCCTGAGTGAAGAAATGGTGTTGTCATGTTTGCAGTTTTATGGTGTGCCATACAGACTAGACGGTGTGGACACACTGAAGCCGCTGTCTTTCACACCACCTCCAATTCCAGTGCCACTTCCGATACCGGTTCCGATTCCGCCTCCGATTCTGGCTCCGATACCGGTTCCGATACCAGTTCCGATACCGCCTCCGATACCGCCTCCGATACCGCCTCCGATACCGCCTCCGATACCGCCTCCAATACCACCACCGGTACCGATAACCTCGCCGCCTCCATGAGCGGCGGAGCTGAGGGCGGACTGGAGGTCCTCTCCTGTGGGCAAAGTTGGGTTATCACCTTCAGCATAGTTGACGAAGTACACTTGAGGAGTTTGTTGCTCAGGTGCTGGTACGTGTACGACCTGTTGGTCCAGTTCAGGCCGCTTGTTGAGGACGTACACAACATTTTTCGTTTGTGGTGGTGGTACAATAATGGGTTCTTGACCTGGTCCGGCTTCTGGGGTGCGGATGAATATGACATTGTGTTCTATCTTTGGTGGAGGAACATTTGGTCGTGGGCCTACAATTGGGGCCACTGGTGGAGCAGTGTACACGTACAAGTTTCTGGTGACTTGAGGAGTCACACAACCTCCGTCCACATGACGGATCTGTCCATCTGCACATCCACCTCCGATAAATCCAGCGCCACCAGAGAGTCCTGCCCCACCAGAGAACCCAGCGCTACCAGAGAACCCAGCGCTACCAGAGAACCCAGAGCCACCTCCGTTGAATACCAAGCCACCAGAGAAGCCAGCACTGCTGGAGAAGCCTGTTCCACCTGAGGAGTGACCTGACCCAGAGTGTGACGGGGGACCGTATATCTGCAGGGAGTCGGCGGCTGCGGCCGCTATCAACGAAACAAGTACCTGCAATGGAAGTGAAACGTTATCAGTTAGATAAATAATATTCGGATAAATCCTCTTGTAACAGATATCTAACCGTGAAAATCTACTTCACTATTTATGTTGTATGAAAATATTTTATTATATTGATCATACCTTTGTGACATAAGATTTTACAAATATTTTTTTTGGTTTCATGTATGGTGATTAGCAACTGAGAAATCTAGTTCATAAAAATATATTTCGGAAGCCCGAACAGCTAAAGAATTTTGAATGAATTGCCATTAAGAGACAAAAATGTTTGATAAAGTAACTGAGCAGTTTGTGATAATTAACTTTGGTCAAAATTCTTCCATTTTTTTGCTAGTGAACTCCGCAGTCTAGTACGTGTGATGTCTTAATTAGTGTCTCAATTTATTTTTTTTATACAATAACTCCGGCAAGAAAGAGTAATTCACTCAAAAAATTTCATGATGGCTAATTCCAGTCTTTACACTGGCAAGCAAAATTTAGAGTTTTTATACAGTTCAGAAACCAGATTCGTTGTTTTAAGCTAACTTAGATGTGCTGGATGACAAACCTAGTCTCTATCGCGTAAGATTTATTCTTAAATTTTATGAATAGTATTCTGGCTATGTAAGGTTGAGGACCCATATAATATATAATGATAGGTATTATATCATGCACAGATGCCTAATACCTATGGTATTATATCATGCACAGATGCCTAATACCTATGGTATTATATCATGCACAGATGCCATATATGTTTTAATAAATCCTAATACTGGTACATACAGTGACAAAAGCTAATCTTTTTTAACGTAAATTCATTACATATTTACGTGAGCTGAAAAAAAACAGAAATTTCCATACAATCATACACATATTAGCAGGGTTTTTATCACTTGTTTAGTATGACTCACCCACAGTAGTGCCCATCAATAGTCAACCATCAAACTGAATATCAGATTTTCCTGATATCCTTTCCCCGTGATGACTATGTCAGTGAAATCGTTGACCGTGTGCTTCTGTTTCACGGAAACTGAGATTGTTGGAGCAAAACGTAGCTCATGTTTGAAATCAGCGTCCCAAAATTCGTTATAAACACACGTTTTTAAACCTGATGTTAAACTATCGTTGACCAGAATTATCAACTCCAACGGGGATGATAAAATCCAATGGTGAATTTCATCGACAGTTATTATAAGGCACAGACCAGAGGTCAGTAATTCAATGACATAGCTCGATTGCTAGCGCACTCAGCTTACACACTGAGGTCCGGGCGTCGATCCCCGGTACGGCTGGAAACATTAGGACGCATTTTCATAAGACACCTGCTGTTTATGTTTGCCCATCAGTAAAATGGATACCTGGGTGTGGGTCGCATCTTGGGACTAAATTGACCAAATTTGGCCGAAATGCTCTGCATAACAAGGGTGTTTTTATATAGTAGTATGTTACTGATGTCAGCTAGGCCTGTATGCCTTGTACATGTATTTGCAGAAATAAAGATGTTATATATTATTATTATTATTATTATTATTATTATTATTATTATTATTATTATTATTATTATTATTATTATTATTATGATGATGATGATGATGATGATGATGATTACATGTCACAAAAAAAAAAACGAAAAAACTTGATCAACATGGTTAGACTCTCTCCTTCATATACAACAGATTTGGTCGCTAAAACAATGAACGACGTGGAGATAAAGACCGTGCTGGTCGACTAGATTTCCCTCATACCCTGAAGAAGCTTTTTCTTATATTCAAAGCTTATTGTCTACGGTGAGATCATTTAGTCACAGTTTGTCTAGTCACTAACGAGAAAGTCCAAACTGGGCTCCAGAATCATGGGGCACCACCTCATAAGTAAGATTTATATGATCTCTGGCATTAATAAGTTTTGACTCTGACATCACATGTTTTTATCATTTTATTTTTATCTTCGGGGCTTAAGCGTCCGAGCATATACATAGTACTGCATCTCTCAATGTATATAAAGTTATATAAAAAGAAATAATGTATCTCACACGTTAAAATTCGTCAGGAATCAGGATAAGTGTTTCCTGACGTGGGTCTTAGTCTTTTGATAACCAGCCACTTGGAGCTTTTGTTCATCTGACCGAGGCCTTCCACTGGTTTACCCCTCCACTGAGAGGCGTATCTTTGTTAAAGCATCACATCTCAGTACCATTCCTCTGCCGATGACACCAAAATACGCCGACGGATTAATTCTGATGAAGACAGAGCGCTACAGGAAGATCTAAACAGACTGATACAGTAGACAGAAAAGCGGCAGATGTAGACAAATGTTAATTTCTAAAACTTGAAAAGAAGATAACTATGGCACTTATAAATTAAATAATGTACATCTTACTCTGAATGCGAAAAAGATTTAGGAATTCTGGTCAGCAGTAATCTAAACCCAAGACAACAGTAAGTGTTCTTAATAAGCGAAGAGAATTCTTGGTTTCATATCAAGAAATATAAATAACAAGAGTTATACTTCAAATTTGTATATCGTTAGTGGGGCCTCATTTAGATTATACTGCACAGTTCTGGTCACCAAAATACAGAATGGACATAAATGCGCTGGCAGACGTTGAGAAGGATGACTACGTTGATCCCATGTATCAGAAATCTTTCTTACGAGGATAGACTGAGGGGTGAGGGTTAACGTCCATAAAAGTGCAAAACTTTATAGTGTATATTACAATGAAATTATAGGCGTAGTTTGGTCCCCGTGCGCTCTGCAAACTATTACTCTTACTTCGAGGTCTCTCTCATTAACAGTGTTACTGTAACTTCTTGCTTGTTGATAAATGGTCAGGTGATACCGTTAAGATGTGGTAAAAGGCACTTATGTACAGTTCAGGACATTTATTTGAGGAAACGTTTTGCCACTAATGACGAAACGTTGCTTCTAATAAAGGTCCTGAACTGTACATAAATACCTTTCACCGCTTCTTGCTTGTTATCCAGTGTTACCATAATGCTGTAAGATTGTCGATCAATGTTAGTATGATCAAAGCTTACACTACAGATCCCTCAACTGTTGAAATATATGTTGGTACATCAGAAGAGGAAGTTATACCCTGCAGAGCTTAAAACAGATCTGTTGCTTTGTAAGAAAACTGCGCATTTATTGTTGCTGAGTCATATTGATATATATCAACTGATTTTTCTTGAGAGTATTTGCCTGTTTAGAGAACATTATCTGGTACAGCAAACCGAGATTTCACTCTTTCGAGAGTGGAAATGAGGCATCATGAGGCCTCGGACTTGGGTTGGCCAGGTCCTAAAGAAACGATGACACTTAAGTATTGAAACGAAGATTTTCACTAATCCCCGAGTCGTGACGGATTTAATAGACTGTTACCACAAAGAAAGTTTTACTCAATACTACAAGAGTGATGGACTGAACACATCGATTCCAGGTTGAGGGACTGATTACCTCAAACTTCTACTCTCCTTACCCACTTCTACTTTGTATTGGACTGATGAAACCACTGTGTGCGAAACGTTTCTTCAATAAAGATTCCCATGTGTTGCATAAGTATTTCAGTTCTTCAACTCAATACTCTCACAATTGGGATTCAGGACAGAAATTAATCCAAATGGCAGTAATGCTTGTCAAATTTTACACACTTTGTTATATTCACGTATGTGCAGAAACCTTAGTTTGCAAATACAGACATAAATTTCATATAAATTAATCACATCCCTTAATCCTGCTATGGCCCTGTGTTGAACAGAATGGATTTACGGCGATAAGCTAATGGATTAAGTAAAACCCTTTAAAAACGTTCATGCTATCTGACCAATGCACGTTCAGGTGAAGCAATGTTTACTCTGGCTGAGTTTCCGATCATTTTACCCAGCACTACTGGGTAAATGAGCCTCTTGGTATAGTCTGGCACTCATAATGGTTCACCAGCCAGTAACCTCTTAGCACAGTGGCCATGACATGCACTAGCCTTCAAGAACACCACTCTCGCTGACCAGCCTCGTCAACAATACGGGAACTCTTGTAAATCTCTGGCGCTGTGAGAAGCTCCACTACACAGAAGGCAAGACGTTAAGGAAAGTCAGGAGGAAGCACTCACCAGTAGTCTCATGGTGGAATGTGATGTGTGGGTGAGAAGACGCTGTCTTTATATAGCGGCCTCTCACCATGACGGGCTAGCCTTGAGTCGCACTGAATTATCCTTGAGTCTTACGTTTCCAATACCTCGAGCTCTACCCAGCCCACCTTTCCCATTATCCTTGTACATTCATACTAGGTCATCTGGTTACATTTACTCTGCTCACCTGTCATCACCTCCCTTTGTTCTCGACATTACAGTGTGACCTGGGTGTGTTATTATTTTACTGGGCAGCTCTCATGTGATCGAGGTTCGTTGAATTGTTGTATGCTCGTCTGAGTCAAGACGATCAAAATAATTAAAGAAAAATAGATCCCTCTGAACTTCTCTCCTGATATGGATCTTTCTTAATAAATCTGTCATTATAACTGAATATATAAAAAGAAAGTTATCAGCTGTTTGTTTTTGGTATTTTAGTCGCGTTATACGACATGCGAGCCTAATGACTAAAGGATTCCATCCTCACCTCCCTGCAGAACTGTTATGCAACAGGCTTACTGGCCCATACTTGGCAGGTCAAACCCAAACCCACTAAAATTATTTTGCAACGTCGATATTGTAAAATCTAAATGAAATTGAGGAACGTTTTGCAGCACTGGTACATACCGTGCTAAGACCGGAGAGATCATCTCCTAGAAGACCACTGCATTGTTTCACCTTGGGCTGTGTGCTGATTCTTCCTTCAGAGGATTAGCTTTTGATTTCCTCCTATTTCCAGGTCCTGTATGACATCTACGGGTTTAGTGCTCCTCCACTAATTTGGTAATAATAATGTATTGATTCCATTGCTTACTTGGTCTTTGATACGATTGTGAGCAACAATGTACATGTAACGACTGCTTGTATTTTAATCCAGTACACCCTGAACAGTGCTCGGGTTCAGGAAGTGATCTCCAGATAGAAGTATCTCAGTCATCAGAGTTGACGCTTGTGCAAGATTCATAAAAAAAAAAAATGACTCCTTCTCAACCAATGGCAGGTTAGAAAACTGAAGATTTTCCTTAAAACTCGCAGAGCTTCGTTCACGAAGAATCTGCTCCTGAGGCGTGATAATCATCGTTACTTAGTTGACTAGTGGGTCATAATCGTAGGGGTTGGACAGATAGCTAAATTGCATCATGTTATAAAAATCTAACTTTGCGAGGAATCGATTAGCCATCTGCTTCCACAGCGACTAGCACATAGGCTAGCACGGTTCTAGATTTCGTATTTTTTTCAAGTTTTTAGTTCTATTGTTGGTTCAGACACAGAGGCAGTGGACGCTCTCTTCGACGAATAACTTCTGTACAAAACCCTACTTGCTTATGATGCCGTCAGTCCTACAGTGTTATCTGGCACCATCACAGAACTGAAGAGACACCTTCGGTAACTAAGTTGCGAGACAGTGTCCACTGCACTCTTCAGTGAAATCGTTCCTAATGGAGAAAAATGAGGTCTAGCCAACAGTTTACATTCAAGAAACTTGCTAGAGTCACCATGTTACCAGACTTAGTCATGGTTATCTCGTCGAAGAACACAATTCCACCCAGCAGGAATCTTGCAGTGATCTAACAGTGTTATGAGTACGTTACATTTCATTCGGCGTATGCCACACATTCATTACAGACATGTCCTCCAGACCAGCGAACCGGGTGCGAACCGGTTAGCACTTCGGTTAGTTATGCTAGCACTTTGGTTCAACCCAGCCAGTCACAGGGAAGCCCGCCATAGTTGTGAAGCGGTGTCTGGGACTCGTGGATCATTATACATATACTTGCACGCTTTTTTGGTGAAGGAATAATAATGTATTTATTCAGTGCTGTGGAGAAAATTCTCCAGGAAGGGGATATCATCTCAGCCCTCTCAACCCCTTTCAGCCCCCTGATGGACTTGAAGAACTCAGCCCTTCCGGAAGAGGGCTAATGGCCTTTCTTAATTCTTCATGCAATGGGGAATTTATTCAACTAAGTCTATTTAAAGACATAAAATGAAATATACAAAGCTGGGTAAATTCCCGATAAGTGTTGACTCTTGCTCGTTCCTCATTCCTACCTTGGTCATTGCCCTACGAGCAGGTGTACAGGCCACGAGACTACACCTGTGTTCGTAATAGTCCTGTTTATGAGAAAGTAGGCCAACTTAATTTTCGACCTCGCTCTCAACACACTAATGTTTTACTGGAATCATCTCTAAAAGTTTCTTTTACAAATGCATTGTCACTCTGACTCCTTTACTGATACTCCTGTCGAAAGTGAAGAAATAATAATAATAAAAGGTTTAACGAGTTTAAGACTTTTATTGACATTGATAATAACATGTTCGCATGTGATTGAACAATTCTTGTATTTGTGAATGTTGCTCTCGTGTCTTTGAGTATTGCTGAACGGCTGTTAAATATCAGTGTCACTGTTCGGCTTTTACGTACCAGTGTTACTGAATGGCTGTTGTTTACAGTAATTTTGATGAACAACTCTAATGCGTTTCTGAGTGAAGTATCTAAAGTAACATATCTCGCTAATATTATGGTGATCAGCTTCAGTGTTTCAATATAGCTGCATCATCCATATTGCGCATTTTATTGCAGTTACAACGTTGAGATTGTGAATTATATTTTGGCTGTATCGTGACCTTCTATTCATATTTTGTAGCTATATGGGGACATCTTGTGTTTTTCACTCGATTGGCCAATATAATATCCAAAGTCAATTTCAGTACCGCCTCCCGTGCCACCTCAAATATCACCACCAGTTTATTTTTCATTAATTACAAATATCAGCAAATTTACTTCATTAGTTATATTGTTCAGTTTGTATATTTCACTGAATATGATGGCCAGAATGTGTACTACATTAGTTAAGTTATTAAGCTTGAGTTAATAATCACGTACATTGACTGGGACTTGGTTTTTCTACTTTATTTGGCAGAATAACTGATACTGATACATGGAGTCCAATATTGTACCCCTCTAGTTATGTCTTAGTAATTTCTAAGATACATAAATTGGTCAGCATTTACCAAATAAGTGCTATTCTCCCACTCTGAAGTGAAGGAATTAAGACAGTTATTTTCATTAATTCGCCTTCACGTCTCTTTCTCGTGACTCTGAGTTCGTTAGAACTTTAGAAAACAAATAAACCATAGAGTGAATTAGATATTTATTTGCTTTAGCAATAATTTAAAATAAATACTTGAATTAGTCACATAATACATAAATCCATCTATTGGATTAAATAAATATTCTACATAATTTTGTACGCAAGATTAGAAAATCAGGAAATTAAATAAAGCCGATGAGTTCTTCCTGCGTGAAGGCTGGGATCTGAGTGAAGAAACGGTGTTGTCATATTTTCAGTTTTAGGGTGTGCCATATAGACTAGATGGTGTGGACACACTGAAGCTGCTGTCTTTCACACCACCTCCAATACCGCCTCTGATGCCGCCTCCAATGTCACCTCCGATACCACCTCCAATGCCACCTTCGATGCCGCCTCCAATGCCACCTCCAATGCCACCTCCAATACCGCCTCCAATACCGCCTCCAACGCCATCACCAGTGCCAATAACCTCGCCGCCACCATGAGCGGCGGAGCTGAGGGCAGACTGGAGGTCCTCTCCTGTGGGCAAAGTTGGGTTATCACCTTCGGCATAGTTGACGAAGTACACTTGCGGAGTTTGTTGTTCAGGAGCTGGGAGGTGGACGACCTTCTGATCCAATTCAGGCCGCTTGTTGAGGACATACAATACATTTTTCGTTTGTGGTGGTGGTACAATAATGGGTTCTTGACCTGGTCCGGCTTCTGGGGTACGGATGAATATAACGTTGTGTTCTATTTTGGTGGAGGAACATTTGGTCGTGGACCTACAAGTGGGGCCACTGGTGGAGCAGTGTACACAAACAAGTTTCTGGTGACTTGTGGAGTCACACAACTTCCGTCCACATGACGGATCTGTCCACCTCCACAGCCACCCCTGATGAGCCCTGCTCCACCAGAGAGTCCAGCAGCACCAGTGAATCCTGCGCCACCAGAGAACCCAGATAGTCCGCCAGATAAACCAGTGCCTCCAGAGACTAAGCCACCAGAGATGCCTGAGCCACCTGGGGAGAGACCGGAACCAGGTGATGGGAGACTGTAGCCTTGTAGGGACCCGGCGGCGGCCGCCGCAATCAATGAAGCAAGAATCTGAAACAGAATTCAAATTGTATTGGATAGTTTCTAATGTAATATACATTTTCAGCAAAGTTAACAGCAATGAAGAAACAAAATTCTTTAAAATTCAACAGTTGAGAAATATGTTGTTATTAATTCCTGACATTGATGCAGTTTCTTCCAACTGATACGTACTATGACATCATCTTGCTGATGACAAGATGCACACGAGACATTGCTTAACCCCCCTAAATGTTGCTGATCCCGTACAGTACGAAATCAACAAGACATCCCGCTGCCAGCTTTACCTTAAAGCATCAACTCTCACTCATTACCATTATTAGTATAACCAAACGCATTTCTTTGTAAGCTGAGAATTGGTTAGATGCATCTCACAATCCTTTGCTTGCAGATAATGCTACATCTCTATAAGCAACTTATGGCATGCTGCTGGCTCTATGCTACTTAATGCTGCTGACTCTTGTGAGATTTGTGTTGTGCTGGTGACTGTTTTTTTTTATCGTTACCGAATTCGCTGGAAGGTTAGGTTAGGTAAGGTTCGTCATGAAACAGGACAAGTGTTTCCTGACGCGGGTCTTAGTCATATGATGACCCGCAGCTGGAACTTTTGGTCATCTGACCGACGCCTTCTACTGGCTTACCCCTACTGTATGACCCTTGTAGGTATAGCGCTTCTTTTTTTATTATAATAATAATTGCTGCCTTACCCCTCAATCCATTTAAATATTATGGTAATTCGTCGATGGAATTTTTCTAATAATCGATGAGCCTTCCTGAATCACTATAAACTATTTGGTTTCAGTTTTAATATATCTTAGATAATTTTTTTTTATCTGACGCTGGTTATTTTATCTGTGTTCTGGTATGACTACTTCTATATTTGAAGGGATTAATTTTAGCTTGTGAGTGAGAACTTGGTCTCCAAACAAGTGTGAAGCTTGATATTGTATGCATCAGTGAATAACATTTTAGTCCAGATGTTCTGTAAATTGTTGACGTTACTTTACAAACACCTCTCATTTATTAACTAGTGTTCATAACGACTCACATCTCTAACCTTTTACTCAGTCTTGACTCAAGAAATCGTAATAACAAGATTGTAAACAAACCACGGTCCAGGTGGGGTTAAAACTCCACAAGAGTGTGATTCATGCAATTATTGGTGTAACCAAAGTGTCCATTACAGCTTCCATGGCATTACCTACACTCCAGGATATTGGAAGCTAACATTATTTTAATGTATCGCAACATGGAGAATGTGCCTGCCAAAACAGATCTGTTACGCTGGAAGGAAATAATCACACTTCTTCCAGGACTGTTTTCAGAGTCTAAGTTTCTCATAAACAATCTTCTCATTTTAATGTTAATTTCTTGACGTAGTGCCCATCGTCAGTATCTTAAGTCTTCGGTAAACTATCAAATGCTATTTTCTCAGGTTAGGTTAGGTTCTGTTAGATTAGAATGGCTAACGGTAGATTTACCCAGAAATAACTAAAAAAAAAGATATCGTCTGGGAAAAAGAAGATAGTAACACCACTCATACCTTAAGTGATTTTCCTCAGAATATCGCCCCTTTCAAATTCCGTTAGTGACATTTCACACTTTAAAACGAAACAAATTGTGTAAATAAGGCGTCATGAGGGTTCGGAGCTAGATGTTCCAGATGACTTTCCCTATGTTTACATCCCAAGGAAATGATGGCACGTATTAAAATAAAAAAAAATTAACTAAACCCTCGTCGAGTTAGGTTCTAGTGTGGCCACAAGGAAGTTCTACACCACACAGTCACACTCTAGATTCAGGTAGAAAATAACTCATATTCCTCTTTTCTGTCAAATTATTCACAGTTTTGTAACTTTCACCAAAGTAGAAAATCTGTTTGCAATGACAAGAATAATATGAATGTGAATTAATCATTAACCTGAATCTGGAGTGTGAAAGAGCGAGGGGGCAGATTTAGCAGACTCATGGACAAGGTAAAACTCTTCGTAATAATTCCCTTGTGCCATTGATGGTCCGGAAATACAAATGAAATTGCCACCTGTATAACGCAAGTTCAAGTCATTATGAAACTCTGTTTACTCTATATAACAGAGTTTGTAGCATGCGTTTTGCTGAAGACTAGCGTGTGAGTGAGCCTCCCACTCAGCTGAAGTCACCACCTAGTAACGTCATAGCACACACATTGTCACTTGTCTTCAGTAACATTACTCTCTCACTTGTCAACAATATGAGAACTCGTGTAATAAATACGCTGCTGCTGTGAGAAGCACCACAGCACAAGAGATAAGACACTAAGAAATGACTGTAGGAAGCACTCACCAGTAGTCTCATGTTGGAGTGTGATGTGTAGGTCAGGCGACGCTGTCTTTATATACTGGTACTCTCACCCTGACGGACTAGCCTTGAGTCTCATGTTTCCCATAGCTAGCATTCCTGCCATGCCCACCTTTACAATTGTCCTGTTATTGTCATACCAGTTCAGATGGCCACATTATCTCCCCCCCCCTCCCTCTTCACCTGACATAGTTTCTCATAATCGTCGTTCTGCACTTTATGCATACGAGTTTAGATGATTAAAATCATAACTGTCTGTATCTCAACTACAGCCTCCTAACATAGTTCATTATTAACGCACCTGGCATGGATTACCAGCTCTCTTCCCGGCTTATTTTCACTTGATACATATACACACCTACACACGTTTATCTTCCCTCTTGGGTATCATAAACGTAAAAGGAACAAAAGAATCAAAGCCATACGTAGAGAACATCTTCGTTTATTTTCAGTTACCAGAAGTTTCGGAACCTCAGACTTCCTCATCGTTACTAAAACATAAAAGAACATAATGTACAGTATATATAATATCCCACTGAGACAGTCACACGGAATACGGTTCTAAAATGCCTCAAGAACGGACAAAGCTCGTTTCCTAGCAGTGAATGCACCACATGCTTCGGGATTTCTTTTTTGAGTGCCCCTAATTGGCCCTTGGGCACTCGCCTTGATCCTCTGGCTTTGATATTGATGTAGCTCTTTTCCTATATGCGGTATTGTATCAACAGACCAATTTGAACTCCCTGGTCTCACCTGCCATAAGTCAGACGAAAGTAATGCCAGACACGATTAGGTCAGTGATATCAAGCGAAGCTTCGCCACATCCCGTTGCCCACGAAAATGGGAACCTCAGATATTTTAGGTTCAGTGGCAGCCAAAAGTACCCAGATAAGAGTCGCCATGTTATTCTGAGAAGACAATACGCTGATAGCATGGAACTACACTTGTGTGTCTACAATACACAAATAACTCGCACATAGGAAACACTGGTTGACGTCTACCTGAAAGGAGTGGCGCCGCCAATTTCAGGAAGGAGTTGTATGATAAAGGCATCAGGGAATCCAAGGACCAGAGAGCAACCAGATTTCTTTTCCACAGACTTTGTGTTGCGGTTCAGGAAGGAAATGCCATCAAGGCAGGGTGGCCTAAAAAAGAAAAACTTTCATCATCATTCACTCCATCATTGTCTTGCCAGAGGCATGCTTACACTACAGTTATAAAACTGAAACACTAACATCTCTCCTTCAGAGTGCAGGCACTGTACTTCCCATCACCACGAATCAAGTCCGGCCTTCCGGTTTCCCTGAATCCCTTCATAAATATTACCTTGCTTATACTCCAATAGAACGTCAAGTCCTATAAACCATATGTCTCCATTTGCTCCTATCTAACACGCTCACGCACGCTTGCTGGAAGTCCAAGCCCCTCGCACACAAAACCTCCTTTATCCCCTCCCTCCAACCTTTCCTAGGCCGACCCCTACCCCGCCTTCCCTCCACTACAGTTTTATACACACTCGAAGTCATTCTATTTTGTTCCACCCTCTCTATACGTCCAAACCATCTCAGTAACCCCTCCTCAGCCTCTGGATAATAGTTTTGGTAATCCCACACCTTCTCGTAATCTCCAAACTACGGATTCTCTGCATTATGACATCTCCACTACCTCCAGCCTTCTCCTTGTTGCAACATTTACAACCATGCCTCGCACCCATACAAAAGCGTTGGCATAACTCTTACATTCCCCATTTTTGTTTTCATGGATAAAGTTCTTTGTCTTCACAGACTCCTCAGTGCACCACTCACCTTTTTTCCCTCATCAATTCTATGATTCACCTCATCCTTCATAGACCCATCTGCTGACATGTCCACTCCCAAATATCTGAACATATTCACCTCCTCCATACTCTCTCCCTCGAATCTAACATCTAACTTCCGTTACCTAAATTTATGGTTATCCTCATCACTTTACTCTTTCCTATGTTCACTTTTAATTTTTTCTTTTACGTACGCTACCAAACTCATCAACCAACCTCTGCAACTTCTCTTCAGAATAGGTAACGAATAGGTAAAACTTGCGATTTTTGCTTAAATAGCAGCGCTCTTCTTGCCGAATAAGGCAAGCGAAAATTTGTGTGTGCAATAATTTCGCAAAAATTATTCTGAACCTAACGAAAAAAAATATATTTCATTGTGTTTGTTTATTATTAAATTATTGTAAACTTGTCTAAAATATATTTAAATCGATTAGGCTAAATTAAATTGCGCTTGTTATAATAAGGTTTGCTAATTGACCAACTTTTACCTATTCGGCAACACACACACCACGCACACACACACACACAGTCCCTGTTTGCAGATGACGTGAAGTTGATGAGAAGAATTCACTCGATCGAAGACCAGGCAGAACTACAAAGGGATCTGGACAGGCTGCAGACCTGGTCCAGCAATTGGCTCCTGGAGTTCAATCCCACCAAGTGCAAAGTCATGAAGATTGGGGAAGGGCAAAGAAGGCAGCAGACGGAGTACAGTCTAGGGGGTCAGAGACTACAAACCTCACTCAAGGAAAAAGATCTTGGGGTGAGTATAACACCAGGCACATCTCCTGAAGCGCACATCAACCAAATAACTGCTGCAGCATATGGGCGCCTAGCAAACCTCAGAACAGCATTCCGACATCTTAATAAGGAATCATTCAGGACCCTGTACACCGTGTACGTTAGGCCCATATTGGAGTATGCGGCACCAGTTTGGAACCCACACCTAGCCAAGCACGTGAAGAAACTAGAGAAAGTGCAAAGGTTTGCAACAAGACTAGTCCCAGAGCTAAGAGGTATGTCCTACGAGGAGAGGTTAAGGGAAATCAACCTGACGACACTGGAGGACAGGAGAGATAGGGGGGACATGATAACGACATACAAAATACTGAGAGGAATTGACAAGGTGGACAAAGACAGGATGTTCCAGAGATTGGACACAGTAACAAGGGGACACAGTTGGAAGCTGAAGACACAGATGAATCACAGGGATGTTAGGAAGTATTTCTTCAGCCACAGAGTAGTCAGTAAGTGGAATAGTTTGGGAAGCGATGTAGTGGAGGCAGGATCCATACATAGCTTTAAGCAGAGGTATGATAAAGCTCACGGCTCAGGGAGAGTGACCTAGTAGCGATCAGTGAAGAGGCGGGGCCAGGAGCTCGGACTCGACCCCCGCAACCTCAACTAGGTGAGTACAACTAGGTGAGTACACACACACACACACACACACACCACACACACACACACACACACCACACCACACACACACACACACACACACACACACACACACACACACACACACAGGAGCTCGGACTCGACCCCCGCAACCTCAACTAGGTGAGTACACGTTTCCTAGACTGCAGGAAGGCCTTTGACACAGTTCCCCACAAGAGATTAGTGCAGAAGCTGGAGGATCAGGCACACGTAAAAGGAAGGGCACTGCAATGGATAAGGGAATACCTGACAGGGAGGCAGCAACGAGTCATGGTACGTGAAGAGGTATCACAGTGGGCGCCTGTTACGAGCGGGGTCCCACAGCGGTCAGTTCTAGGACCAGTGCTATTTTTGATATATGTGAACGACATGATGGAAGGAATAGACTCTGAAGTGTCCCTGTTCGCAGATGACGTGAAGTTGATGAGAAGAATTAAATCGGACGAGGATGAGGCAGGACTGCAAAGAGACCTGGAGAGGCTGGACATGTGGTCCAGTAACTGGCTTCTCGAATTCAATCCAGCCAAATGCAAAGTCATGAAGATTGGGGAGGGCAAAGAAGACCGCAGACAGAGTATAGGCTAGGTGGACAAAGACTAGAGACCTCACTCAGGGAGAAAGACCTTGGGGCGACCATAACACCGAGCACATCACCGGAGGCACACATCAACCAAATAACCGCTGCAGCATACGGGTGCCTGGCAAACCTGAGAATAGCGTTCCGATACCTTAATAAGGAATCGTTCAAGACACTGTACACTGTGTATGTTAGGCCCATACTGGAGTATGCAGCACCAGTCTGGAACCCACACCTGGTCAAGCACGTCAAGAAGTTAGAGAAAGTACAAAGGTTTGCAACAAGGCTAGTCCCAGAGCTCAAGGGAATGTCGTACGAGGAAAGGTTAAGGGAAATCGGACTGACGACACTGGAGGACAGAAGGGTCAGGGGAGACATGATAACGACATACAAGATACTGCGGGGAATAGACAAGGTGGACAGAGATAGGATGTTCCAGAGAGGGGACACAGGGACAAGGGGTCACAACTGGAAGCTGAAGACTCAGACGAGTCACAGGGACGTTAGGAAGTATTTCTTCAGTCATAGAGTTGTCAGCAAGTGGAATAGCCTAGCAAGTGAAGTAGTGGAGGCAGGAACCATACATAGTTTTAAGAAGAGGTATGACAAAGCTCAGGAAGCAGAGAGAGAGAGGATCCAGTAGCGATCAGTGAAGAGGCGGGGCCAGGAGCTGAGTCTCGACCCCTGCAACCACAATTAGGTGAGTACAATTAGGTGAGTACACACACACACACACACACACACACACACAACACACACACACACACACACACACACACACACACACACACACACACACACACACACACACACACACACACACACACACACACACACCACACACCACACCACACACACACGCACACACACACAGATACACACACACACATCACACACACACACCAACACACACACACACACACACACACACACACACACACACATACACACACACACACACAACACATAACACACACACACACACACACACACCACACACACACCACACACACACACACACACACACACACACACACACACACACACACACACACACACACACACACACACACACACACACACACACACACACCACACCACACACCACACCACACACACACACACACACAGATACACACACACACACACACACACATCACACACACACACACACACACACACACACACACACACACACACACACACACACACACACACACACACACACA